GCAGAAAGCGGGGCGCGGAGGGTTGCAGAGAGCTATCGCGCGGGCGTAGTCCCTAATGCACCAGGCGAGCGTGTTTGGCCTCACCCTTGAGGTTAGGTTCGACTGATCCAGGAGCGGTGCGGGAGGAGGACAGCTCGTCGAGTAGTCAGTCAGCCCGTCTCTTGAGCCCCGGAACCCTCATCCCCCTATAAATGTGATTCTCTCTACTCTCGACTGTCTTGACTCGAAAGAAGGGAGAAAAAGGCGGAAAAAGGAAAGAGTTTCGCACCGGGTCAGGTGTTCTTTCCAGTTCCTTCGACCCCCCTTTCCATTTGGCTTTTAACATTTACGACAAAAGATTCAATACCACGCGCCCGCGCCGAATAAAACAAATATAAATGCAAAATGCCGCATCCTTCCACACCTCTCGCCCTAGAAGTGCTATGGGACCCACACTCACACCGCATTTTCATAATGGGGATGAATCCCAGAACCGACTTTGTCTTGTCTTCCCTTTACCGTCACAATAGAAAGACGACAGGACCAGTAAAAAATCTCTCCCAGGTAACAACGACACTACGGTTTTTTGTACATGAATAAAACAACAGTGATCCAGTTTCCCCTCCCACTCATCTGGCCCTTCTCCGCGACGTACGCCGTCGCGGCGCCGCCGTGGCGTCGCGGTTTTTTTTGTGTGTGGTTTTTTTCTTTCTTTCGAAGCCAACGATGGCGTCGCGACGCACGCTTCAAGAAAACGGGGCGGCGGCCCGCGGTTTGTTTTATGTATTTTGCTGTTGTTCAGGAGAGAAGAGGGGAAGGGGCATTAGGAGGAGGTGAGGAGAGGTAGAGGCGCGGAAGGTGGAGAGGGGGGAAGGGGGAGGGGGTGGCAAATTGAAAAAGTGTCCCACCAAGTGCTCGCTATAAGTTATGCATGGCGCTCTGCCGGCCTGGCCCCGCCCCGCCGCACCTCCCTTTCCCTGCGCCGCCGTTTCGTCTGCTAAGGAGAAAGTAATGCAAATGCCTCAAGGTTCCTCGGCTATTAGCCACCCCTCCAATCCCTGCCGGCGGCGCGCAGGACACGGCGGGGGGAATATCATAATGATAATCAACATGTTTATACACTCCGCCGAGAGGTAGACGAGCAGACGGACTCGATCTCTGACGACGGCGGCGCCGGCTGGGCCTGCGACGAACCGCGAGCGTCCCTCGCCGAGCGCGCACCCCGCCAACGACCCCCCTGGTCCCCAGTTTTGCCCCCTTCCGTAAAAGTTAAGTGAACTCGAGTTCGTGAGGCGCCAGAAACATTTTCATTCTGGGTCACTCACTTTTGAGGCGCGGCGGGGGTTGCAAAAAAGCGGCCAGCTCATTGGAAGGGGGAGGGGGGAGG